AAATGTAGAAGTTTGAAGTTCTAAAGTTCATTAAGCTCGAATTGGAGTGCGATTCGTGATTTTGATGTTGTTTGGTGTGGTTTGGGCCTCGATCAAGTTAGTATTGTATATTGGGATATGTAAGTATATTTGGTTAAGGTCCCGGGGCCTCGGGTAGATTCCGAATGGTTAACGAATTGAATTTGGCCTTATGAAGATGATAAAGCTGCTATCATCTAGTGTGACCGCACATGCGAGGTTTTGGCCGCAGGCACCGGGAAGCAGAAGCGGCCCAGAGGTCATTGAAGCGGAGAAGGTTAGCCAGGGAAAGGACCGTAGGTGCGGAGTTTTGGCCGCATCTGCGCAAGCGCAGAAGCGAAAAGTTGGGCACAGAAGCAGAAGAAGGTGCATGAGCGGAAGGGAGCTCGCACCTGCGATGTCGCAGAAGTGGGGAATGTTTTCGCAGGTGCGAGGCATCGTGTTTGGGTGATTTCCACAGAAGCAGTGGTGTGGTCGCAGAAGCGACGCCGCAGGTGCGAAAATATTGTTGGGCAGATATGTTTTAAGAGCGGGATTTGGCTCTTCTTCTCTCATTTTTCACTTGGTTGAGGCGATTTTGGAGAGCTTCAGGGAGGGATATTCATCAAGCAACACAAGTAAGTGATTCCCACCTATTACAAGTTAAATACATGAATTCTATAAGGATTTAAACATGAAAATTCATGGAAAATTAGCGAAAATTAGGGGTTTTGGTAGAAAACCTTGAAATTTGGTATTTTTGGATTTTGACCACGAATTTAGACATGGAATTGGGAATAAATTATATATTTGAGTTCGTGAGGTTATAGGTAATAGTTATCTTAGAAATTTTTTTGGAATCCGGGCATGTGGGTGTCACGACCCAAACCGATGGGCCGTGATGGGCACCCGATACCTTACTCAATCGAGTACCAACGTAACGTATCTTTCTTATTACATCATCATATACACATGACATACGGGCCTAATTGGCCAACATGATCCTTTATAAACTCAAAATATAGGCCGATAAGGCCGCACAATTTTTTATGTACACGACATATGTCTACAAGCCTCTAAGAGTATATAAATGTCATAAAGGTCGGGACAGAGTCCCGCCATACCAAACAATACACGTCTAAATTATACTAACCAAATGAGCAACTCCGAAGCAAATGGAGCGCACCAACATTTTCCGCTGAGCTGATAGCCTACTTGGAGGGCTCCCGACCTGTCTATTGGGACCTGCGAGCATGAAACGCAGCGTCCTCAGGCAAAAGGGATGTCAATACGAATAATGTACCGAGTATGTAAGGCACATAAATAAGTACATAAGAGACATGGAAGAGATATAGAGTACATGACTCAACCTGTCAGTCTGAATAACTTTGTAAATCATAAATTACTCTTAGCGTCATGCATATACGTATGAATGTCATGTCGTGCATAGGTACATGTTTCATAATATCATCAACCTCTAAGGGCATTCCATCATATCATATCAGCCACTGTGGGCAAAATCATCATTGTATACTAGCTGATAAGGTGTGGTATGTATATAACGCCATAACTTTTTCCATATCCCATATACATACATATATACACGTATATAACGCCGTTTGAATCATATTTCAGCCACTGTGGGCAACATCATCATCATATACCATCTGATCAGGTGGTGGTGCGTATATAACACCGTAACTTTTTCCCATATCCCATATACATATATTTACATATATACGCGTATATAACGCCATCTGGTCATGGGTCAATGCACGTGTATAAATGAATAAAATGCATGAAAAATACATAATAATCTCGATATTTCCTTCCGGATAAACTTTTCCAACTGCGTATTATTCTGAGACCCATGAACAGAAGATAATAAAAATTCTCATGGGGAATCAAGAATATAGACACCCCTGCTCTTTGGACTAGAGACAAGTCTTATAAAAATACCCAAGAGAATAGCTGTTGTTTATCTGTTGGCCTCATAGTAGCTGATGTAGGCTAATTAGCTATCAGCTATCAATATATACAACTGCTATAGTTACTTCTATTATACAATCATGTTTGTAACTATCTAATCTTTCTAGTACTTATTTTCACTTGTTTTGTCTTTGTCCTGCAATGTGCACTTGTAGGATCATTTCTCTGATTCTATCACTACTATCTCGAGTGATTTGTTGGAACCTTCTGTTATTTCTTTCTGCCCAAATGTGGTACACCGCTACTGCAAATAGGAACCTCATAATCTCTCCAACTAGTTGCCTGTTGTTTCTTCTCTAAGATAGTCATACTACTTCCTCTTCCCAGTGATGTAATTGCTTGCTGATGTTTATCCATTTCAATAATTTGCCCCAGATGTCTTTAGAGTATGAACATTTAAAGAATAAGTGGATATGTGTCTCAGCTGCTCCTGTAGAGCATAAGACACATGCATATGGTACTTGAATTCCCCAACTTAGTAAGCTGTCAGTTATTGCAAGTCGTTTCTGAACTGTCATCCAAAGTATAAAGGAGTGTCTAGGAATTAGTCCTCTGATCATTATCAAGGACCTCCATAATACCTTTTGGTATTGTGACACACTAGCAGTATATGCTTTCTTTATTATAAATCTGTCATTAGAGGCATATGAATTCAACTCTGCAACTCCAGTTGTTAACCAATTTCGAGTATCAAATACTTTCCTCACTATCCATTAGGCTTGTTTTGGAGTAGATATACTGTCTAGATCCTTATTCTTTGTATAATGTGTATATACCCAGAGTACTCATAGCTTGTCTTTCTTCTGAGTTATGGCCCATAGTAGTTTGCTTATAGCTGCTTTGTTCCACAAAAATAGGTTTATAACATTCAAACCTCATGTAGACTTGGGCTGGCAAACTGCATCCCATGCAACAGGATTTCTCCTGCTGTTTTCTTCAGTCTCATGCCATAAGAAGTTCCTACATATTGCAGTCACCATGTTCATAACCTTTTTGGGAAGTAGGAACACTTGTGCCCAGTAGGGGCAAACACTCACATATAGTAAGTTTTCTTGTGAATAAAGGTACTCCTAAGTATTTGAAAGGGAGAATACCTAATGTAAAGTGGTATTGTGATAGGATTTGCTCTTTTACTTGAGTAGAGACCCCTGCCAAATAGATTAAAAAAAATTTCATGTTGGCTTCGAGGCCTGATGCTTCACAGAACTTGTCAAAACATTCCATCATGAGTTGTATTGAGATAGGATCCGCCCTACAGTACATCAACAAGTCATTTGCAAATCAGATATGCACAATCTCCATTTTTGCATACTTTGGATGGTAATTAAAGTCTGTATTTAGCTTCAATTTCTTCAAAGCTCTGTTTAGGTACTCCATTACTAACACAAAGAGATAAGGTGACATAGGATCACCTTGTCTTAGCCCCTTCTTTGCATTAAATCAGGGATTCAACACCCCATTGATCAACAGGGAATAACTTACAATACTTACACACTCCATAATGAGCTTGACCACTCTAGTAGAAAAATCAAACTCCAATAGTAATCCTTCCAGGAAGCTCCATTCTACAGAATCATAGGCTTTTCTGATATCCAATTTGATCAAGCATCTGGGAGATGATGATTTATAAGAATACCTTTCAGTAGTTCATGTGCTATGATCACATTGTCTAGAATATTCCTCCCTTCAATGAAAGCTGATTGTGATGCCCCTACTATTTGATCTACTACTGGTTTCAATCTTCCTGTCGAGATCTTTGCTATGATTTTGTAGAGGGTTGTACAACAAGAAATTGGTCTATATTCCTTGATAAATGATGGATTTGAAGTCTTTGGTACCAGTGTAACAGTAGTAGCATTTACTTCTTTTAGCAGTTTCCCAATTGTAAAGAATTCTTGCGCTGCATTGATTATTTCCTCTCCAATAAGTGGCCTAGACTCCTTAAAGAACTCAATTGGGTATCCATCTATACCAGGTGTTTTGTCTAGAGGTAAGTCTTATACAGTCTGTATGATATCATCTCTAGTTACTAGTAGAAACATCTGTTGTTGCTGACCCAATGTTAGGCAGGGGCCATTTCTAGCTATACTCACATCAAGTCCAGGCAAAACTGGAGTTGCTTCCCCCAACAGTTTTTGAAAGAACCCCAAGAATTCCTTTTGTATCAAAGGTGGGTCTATTAGTCTCATGTTGGCTTCATTGTAGATAGATAATATTCTGTTCCTTGCATGTCTAGCTTTCAAGTATGCATGGAAATACTTAGAATTTGAGTCATTATATGCAATCGAGGCTGCCCTAGATTTTTGTCTGCAGACCTGTTCTTGTACTCTCTCCCATTTTTCTAATTGAATGAGTTGTAGCTTTTCCTCCTCAATCAATTGTGGTTAAAGCAGTCCTCATTCAGTGCTTCCTGTGTATGCTTCTGTTGTTCTCTGAGTTTTGTTAGCTTGAGATCTACAGAGGACATATGTTTGTGCATGTCTTTGGTGGCTTCCTCTATTAGCTTCAGCTTCCTCCATATAGTAAACATAGTATATCCTTGTATGTCTTGTGCCCAGGTGCTTATGGATTAAAGTGACGGTAAAAAGAGTTTTGATTTCTTTTTAAAAAAATTAAATTATTGGTAGATAATAGTTATGTTTGATATGAAAAAAAATATTTCTTACGAAATATATTTTCCTTCACACCAAGCACCCCCAATATATTTTTAAGTTTCACTTTCATACACTTGTCTAACTCAGTTATGTTATTGCCCAGAGTAGTGTACAACTTACGGGTTCAAGTGAACCCATAACTTTCGACGCGGAGTAAAAATTTGTAGGTTAAATTCATTAAAAATTGCAAAAATAATAGATATGAACCCACAATTTTAAAAATACAATGGGTTCAATGTTAAAAACCTTAAAGTTGAACCCATAGGATTTAATTCTGGATCCGCCTCTGTTTTTGCCACATAAGCTCGATTAATGCATATGCTTTTAAAATAATAATTTTGAATATATATATTCAAATGTTTGAATATTGTCACATAAATTCGATCCATAATAAGATTGAAATAGAATCCCGTTGTCCATTTGCTTGTTATGCCTACTTATTTTGCTTTTGAAAACACAAAGAAAGAACACCATTTGACACAACTATGGTTCAAGAAAAAAGATCCTCTATATTTGAAAAAATCACAACAACAATTACCCTAGGGTTACTACTATGAAACAATGTTCCAAACTAGAATAATTTTGAAGTACATACGCAAACAAAGGTCCCTAATTTGTGGAAACAAACTGTTGAATCTTGATTCCTCAAGATTTAAGACCTCCTCTGCTTCAATTTCCACCAAGTCATCTAAGCATCAGAAATCCAAGAAAACTGAAAACCCCAGTTTGAAAAAACAAATTGAACCCCAGAATACTTCGCTCTTCAATGAGATCAGAGAGATTTTAGGAACAGAGACTGTAGTAACTGCAGATGAAAACCCATATGGACCTGAAATACCCGTCGTGGACTCATCATCTTGCACGGGAAGTGTTTGTGAAAATGCCAAGCCTAGTACAGAGCTGAAAATGAGAAATTTACATGATGATACTCCGATAGAAATTTTGGTGAAAAGGGATATTAGTCCCATTGTTCACAAGATTACAGAGATTGTGAGGAGTGAAAATAATGTGATTTCAATGGAGGAACAACTGGAAAAAGCAGGTTTTGAGTATAATGAGGAGGTTGTTGACAAGGTTTTGAAGAGGTGTTTCAAAGTTCCTCATTTAGCTTTGAGGTTTTTCAATTGGGTGAAATCAAGAAAAGGATTTAGTCATACTACAGCGACTTATAATACAATGATTTACGTGGCTGCAGAAACAAAGAAGTTTCGCTTGGTTGACGAATTGGTGGAGGAAATGGGGAGGAGTTCCTGTCAGAAGAATCTTAAGACGTGGAGTATTCTGCTATCCCATTTTGGGAATGCGAAGTTGATTGGTAAAGCATTGTTCACGTTTGAGCAGTTGAAGAAATATGGTTATGAACCTGACTTAAGGGCTTATAAGACCTTGTTGAGTTCGCTTTGTAATGCTGGAAAAGCAGACATTGCTTTG